GAAGCACGTAGCGTGACACCCGGCCGCTCGGTGTGCAAGTGGCACCCACATTATACGCCGAGTAATATGTACACGAAGGGGGAGAGAGAGAGAGAGAGAGGTGCGCGCGCAAGAGAGAAGGAGAGAGAGACGCATAAAGCGAGAAGGAGAGCGATATAGCAGAGAGCAGAGAAGGGAGACAGAGCGACGCGGTAAAGGGGAGGATCAGCGGGGACGGTAGGGGACGCGCTATAATACTCGGTGGTGGTCCCATGCCACTACGTGACTTGTGTGCGGCTCTAAGCCGAGACATATCGCTGTCCCGGGGCCCCGTTTCTGCCACCTAAAGGAGCGCGTGGATATATCGCGCACCGAGGCCATTATACTGGACTACCGTGCCGGACGGAGACGGTTCGATCGGTCTTATTGAATTTGCTCTCTCCTTCCTCCCCCGGCATTCGCTCGACTTTACTAGGTTTGTCTCCTGATTGTTCGTCGCGAGTTATCTAAGCGGAGTTATCTAAGCTCAGTCCGCCGCTAACCTAATCAGGTCACCCACTCGCGAATGCAGGCTTTCGCAGTTTTTTCACCTCGTCGGGTTTCCGTCCGAAGAGAAGCGTTCGCGCACTATCGTGTTCAACGAAATCGGAACGCGACGAGGTAACTCAATTTGCGACCTCGTGCTTTAGACGCTTATTAAGTTTCTCTCGACACGTTAAAATTCTACGTTCCCAGAGAAGACCGCAAAATTTTGCAGTCACTCGTGAAAATTTAATTCTAAATTCTAGGCCTAAACAAGTTTGTATGTGATGTATCTTAATGAGATTTTTATTACGAATGAAGATTTATGATATGATACAAATTTTCGATTTTATTTAAAATCGGAACATCCTAATGATTATCGCTTTTTCAAAATTGATATCTCTATCAATATTTAGATTTACCTATCATGTACACGTGAGTTTAAAGATGTATTATATATATATATGTATTTAAAAAACAATGAAAAAATTGTGAAATATAAAAAGTTACAGATTTTTCTATGTTGTATTTGAAAGTAATATAAAAATTTGGCAGCGATTTATAACTTGGATCAAAAATTTTAATAAGAAATCGACATATTTTTTAAAAATAATTAAAGTAAAAATAAGAAAATTTTCATTTAAACTATAAAATTGTACTCTTAAATATTACATATTGACTTTAACGAATTGTTTCATATTATAAGAATATAACGTTCATTTTGATTCGTAAAGTCTGAATTTCCAATTTCAATTACTTTTTGCAGAGATTATACACTTGATATATCCTTAATATTATTTTTTTTATTCTATTAAATATCGCATCACACCAGTGAAGAAATCATTTTCGTATCTTATTGTTAGTTGAGAGAATGTACTCTTTTAAAAATAAAAAGCACAAAAGTGTTCTACGGTACGTACTATAACTTTGTTCCCTTTGGTCTCTTCCTATTGATTCCGTCTACGAGCTCGTGGACCGGCAGCGTGGGTTAAATGCGACCGCGGTAGTTAATAGGTGCTTAATCGAGCCGTTAATTAAGGCGCTCTGGGATCGCGGCTCTCGAAATAAACCTTTTCGCACATTCGCGCGATCGTATCTCTGCATCAGGACAATGTCGGTTATCTGACGATGGTATCATCATGACTTTTCAACCGTATCCTATCTTCCACTTCGCTTATTCTTCCTCTCTCTCTCTCTCTCTCTCTCTCTCTCTCTTTCTTCCTCCCTTCCCCCTTTCTGGCTCATCGTCAATTGAAGGAAATCGCGTACATCGCGACCCGGCCATTATGCAAGCCACCGCACTAGACGCTTCGATCGTCCTCATTGAATTAGTTTCTGCCAGCGGGCTTGTTTCTCGATTGTCTGGCGTAAACCGCAGAGGTTTGCCATTTTACTCGGGAACCCAGTCGGCCAGTCCGTCGACCAGTCGGCTCGCTGATTGACATTCCCGAGGGCGATAATCGCGAAAATAAGAAATCCATCCCAATGCCAGTTCATCGCGTGACTCTCGCCGAGGCATATCAAGCGATCCAAGCTGGAGTATTTAGGGATATATCTCGGCTTTATTGATATTACAGTAATTAGCCTTTATCATGGACATGATGAACATCTTATTTCCTGTCAGTTTTATATTGTTTCTTAACGATATCAGACTAATCTTTTTTTAAGTAATAAAAAAATTTCGACTATATTTGATAATTATTTAAATCGTATTAAAATTATTGCATATGTAATAAATTAAATATTTATATATATTTATATGGTACTTCGTTTGTTTACATAATTTCTGACTATAAATTGAAGTCTACTTTATCAATCGGTCAAAAAAATACTGATCATTTCGATTATTTCGCAAACTGTTATTTTACAAGCTATTTTTATGCAAAAAGTCGGAAAATTCAACTCTTTATCTTATTTCTTCCGCTATCTTTAAAGTCTTATCTTATATCGAAGCAACTATCTCATTTTGCTCAAATCGTGCTTATTGAATGTCTCTTACGATTTTCAACAATTTGCATATGAGCATAGCCCAAAATCGGCACTGACAAAATTGGCTGTTTCCGAGCTCCCAAGACTTCATTTTGATGTCCTTCCGCCACGGTGAAACGACTCGCTGACCCGGTATTTCAAGGATTATCCTGATATTCTGCGACCCATGGGGGCTTTAAGTGTCGCCCTCGGACCGTTAGCCGTTAGCGAACTGCCCAAGGTAGACGGACAGTTCGATCGAGCTTATTGAATTAGCTCCCGCTCTTATAGGTACTCGCCGCGATTGCGGGTTGTACCGCTCGACTGCATTTATCCGTAGTATGTACGTGAACTTCGATACATTTGCGGTGATCTCGAAAACACATCTCGCCTCGCTGCACAAATTTACACTCGGCATATGAACACAGACGAATCGTCAGTTTTTTCCGACCCTAGACAAAGCAACGTGAGATAAAACGTTCGTCGGAGGGCGTGACACCGAGGGTGTCCGATTTGTATCTCAGGGGGGAGGGGTGAACAATCATGCGAAGGGATGGCTTCATTTTTAGGTCGTTATATCTCATTATTTTCCGGCCTCGTCGCTACAGCTTTCGCTGCGGGAGATTGAAAGCAATAACCGTCGATTCTGCATCGGGGTGTTTCTTTCTTTTTTCAATTACACGTAATGGTATATTATAGTTCGATATCGGTCATGCAGATACGGGGCGCAAAAATAGCCCACGCGCGAAAGGAAGGTCGTGGCGACTAACCGGTTTCACCATGTTTAATACGTCGTGTAAACTGCTGGCTAATTATGCCAGTGTCGTTGACTATCCTTAATGCCGCTCTTGCGAAAAGTCCCCATTTCTTCATATGCGGTTACAATTGAAACGTGATATCCATGAAGAAACACGAGGCTTCTACCTCAGACGAAATGATGTGTACAAGTGAGAGTAATTGATTCTTCCTCTCATAGAAAGGTTCATCCTCTTTGCATAGTTTATAATAATAATGCCTAAATTGTGTTCTCAAAAATTAAAGTTATATAGGGTATGTAAGCCGTTTATCTTAAAAGATAGTGTCGGTCAATAGCGCGTTTACCTGTGGGCTTTTGTAGTTGGGGCCATAGGGAAA